ATTGTGTTCACTAATCCTCCTTTAATTATGTTAACTTCATAACATGTATATGCTTACCATCTATTCATGGATTTAAATCCTCTAAAATTAAGCATAATAAATTTGTGCGAAGCTTGCCCTTGTTTAAAATAAAAAAGAGAATATTTTACATTTTAAGAAACTGCACTGCTAAAATTAAAAAGGATGGTATTATCAATGCAAGGGAGATAAGATTTAAGAAACAGTAGGTCATGAGTAATTAACATGAATGGATTGAAAATAATACGTAGAGGATACAGCAGGAGGTAGTGAAAGGTATGTTATAATAATAATATTATTAAAAAAAAAAACAGATGAAAGAAGAACATGGGAGCATTAAATTAGAGGGAGCATTAATAGCGAGGAGCATAATGGAAGTGGTCAGTTGGTCGAGTGGTTGGCTAACATGTCGTCGGCTCATATTCATGGGTGCCTTCATTGCTCCTTCCATTCGTTGCCTCAAATCCAAGCCTCCCTGCCTCTGCTCCCTCCCCGTACTTCTGAGCCCTACTGTCCAGTGTCCACCCTTTCTTCTTCTTTCTTTTTATTCTGTTAACCAAATAATCAATTTACCCACTGGATCCGTGTTATACACGCACCCAAGTTGTTGGATATGTCCCCGTCTCTTCATATGGCATGTTCAACTCAATTTCTCTTCATAGCACTTTTTTTAAAATCCAACATTTTCCCAAAATTATTCTTCTCTTTTATTCTGTTTCTTTATATTTCATACCAGTTCAATGTTTTCTCATCTTTTAATTTTTTTTTTTAAGCTTCTATCTCTACCTATAATGTAAAGCCAAAAGAGAACGGTCATGCTAGACCATGGACAGTTAATGTAAAACTTTGTAGGATTTCATATGGATATGAATAATTTGTTAAGCTTCCAACCATCTTTGTTGGGGGGACATATAGCTGCGGTGCAATAGAGGACCTTTTTTTCAAAAAAAAAAAAGGGCAAATGAGATTACAAATAATTAAAATGGGGATAATGATAGTCAAGTTTCAAAAGTTTCAATTAACGATAGTTATGTTCTCAATAATTTTTTTTAAAAAATAAGTTGCTAATTAATATCAATTTAGACAATTATATATTTAAATGTTTCAAATAATGTAACTCTTAAATTGTATACGAGATTCTTTTTGTAACTATATATTACGTTTAAATTGATATAGTATATATTTTATTTTTTTAAAATTTTGTCCAGAATAAGACTTCAGCCTAACCCAAAATCTAGTCTTTTTTATCAAAAGGATTAAGCTAAGCAACCTGTGATCCGATCTAGTCCTAGAATAGAAGTTGAATAGGATTGAACTGATCCAATGGGACTAGGAGGCTAGTCATAGTTTTATCCAATGTCTCACTTTATTATTATTTTTTTGGTCCTCTATGAGAGGCAGCAAATTATTTGATCTAGTAAATTCAATTAAGATAATAAAATTAATTGTAGTTATATAAAATTTATCACAACACCAAGTATAAATCCATAACACTCTCTAACAACAACAAAAAGTATTTCAGTTATAGCACAAGAGATTCAAAGTGAACAACCTCCAAACAAATTTCACTAATAAAAGGAGAAGATTGATGAGATTGGTTAGAAATTTTACTCAATATCCATAGCTTCACAAGTATAAAATATAAAAAATTATTAATTATTATTATAAATTAACTTATTATTGTAATAATTAATAAATTAATTATACTCATATTGAATAAATTTATAGGACTAGATCGACCAAGTAGTCCAGATGTACGGTCTCTTGTCTAATCCAATATAAAGATTTTGATCTTTTGATCTTGAAAGATTAGCTTTTAATTTATTTGAATCAAAGTGAACTGAATTGTCTCAAATTAAATTGAGTTAGACTAGATCAAAGAACTTTTGCACAGCCCTAATAATAACAGTCCGGAGATGTCATCATGTCAATAATTCAACAAGAACAAGATTTAATAATGCAATCTTTGATAGATAAAAAATATTTTATGGAAAGGAAATGTGAAAGTCACTTATTCTATTTAATTTCTAGGTATATTTCTTATTTCCGTTTTAAAAAAATACTTTTTGTGCAACAAGCATTGTCCAATAGATTTTTTTGGGACCGAACATTTAAAAGCAGGAACCAAAATTGAAAAACCTTGTGTGTGGGTGTGTGTGTGTGTGTGTGTGTGTGTTAAAAACTTTTGAAATTAAAATCCAAATAAAAGATGTAACTCGAGTAGTTCTGCAACAAACAAATTAAACCCTATGGATTAACTAAGGTTTGCTTACCTCCTTAGAATAAGGAAAAAAATTGCGGAAAGTCCCTTGCCCAGTTACGTTACGATACAACTGGCTCGCCATGGGGAGGTTGAAGAAGATCAGAAGTAACCGATAAAAGTTGTTCCACAGAGAGAGAGAGAGAGAGAGAGAGAGAGAGAGAGAGACGTGGTAGCCCGTGAGATGTAACGTTGAATAGCAAACCTCTGTGTTATGTAATGTTTGTATGGTTGTGGTTTAGTGTTCGGTCTCACGGGAATCCCCAGCCTCCCCACTCTCACGTGTTCCTTCCCTCCTCTCTTGTTTTCAGCCCCGGATCCTGCAATTTTACGGCGCTCCCACGTTTCTCCTCGACCATTCACCCACCCTTGGTCGGTGCTCCATTCAGATCCCATTCCCTAATAACGTTTAATTATAACTAATACTTGCTTGTTTAGGAATCGCCCCTAAAAATATGGCCTTTCTCTCTCTGGGTATATTGTTTTCGCTTCTGCATTGCATATCTTGATATCATGCACAGTAGTCCCTCCCAGTAAATCTCTTTTTCCGATCTTACCCGTTATCCAAGTCACTACCAGACAAACAATGTGTAAATAGCTCATCATGACCGTTAAAGTGCCTCCTGTTATGAAATGAGGTACGTATACATACATACATACATACATATATATATATATATATATATTATAGCCTCGCAGTTTTGAGGGGTCTTCACCATATTGTACTTTCTTCTATATTGTCAGACTCAAATATAGACACCGAGGTCAGGAAGAACGAAGGCAGATTGAAAAATGAGGTAGAAAAGGAGTTATTTTTCGGATACGTGTTAGGTTAGGTCAAATTATCTGATCTCTCTCGAGACCGCCCCAACTGTATTATGCTAACTTGCATGAATGATTGACTACTTAACGAACTTATTATTATAATAACCTTTCTGTGCATGCGAAGGACCTGTACGATGCTTCTCAAAATGATGCTTCAATTAACTTGGTGGCAAGGTTAAAAAAAAAAAAACGGTCTGAGATAGATAGGGGCCATACATGGCCATAATAATGGAGCGCATCAGCGCCCAAAAGAAACCACCAGCAGTTCACTGCAATGAACTAAAAGTTAATGATACCAATAATAAGCTGGCACATTAGATATATGATAGAAGGAATAATATAATATATATATATATATAACACGTGAGAGATTATATATACATGGGGTGTTCGAAATGAAAATATATAGACACACACACAAGAAAGTAAAGGTGTGAAGTACATGTAAAATATATAGAGAAATCTATGTGGTGCTGTTAAGCATTGGATTCAAAAGGGACGTATCAAGGAAAGAAAGAGACAAGGTGTTGGCAGTGACAGAGGGAGTGAGCAGCCAGTGCTGTGTGTTGTTCCCTTTACTGACTCACATCTTCTCTCACTAAGCTCTCTGGGCCTACAAACTATACGTACTATCCTCTCTATCATTTCTTGCTCTCCTTCCTCTGCTTGCAGCCTATATTCTTTTGCTATGTGTATGTGTGCCGTGCCATTTAGGGGAGATACATACGCAGCCTTGCATCTATCCTTGCATATTACTCTATTACCTCCTCTACTGTACTTCACCTGTTATTATACAGCAAAATACAAATGGAGGGTCAGCAAGCTCTGAACCTGGCTTTAATTTTTACACATTTAAACTTTTAAGTGATTCCGATCTTGATGTTATATGATTTTTTCTCACATTTCACAGACCATTGCAAAACCTTCTCTTATTGTTTATTTTTTACAGTAAATTAATTAATTTTCCATAACTTGCATTGACGTTTGACTTTAATTTAAATTTTTGTTGTTGTTGTTAATGATGATAATCAAAATATACAGTTTAAAAGGTAATATTAAGCTGATAAGCAAATGAGATTTTAATTTCATTTTCTAAATTATCCCACATTCAATACAATCGATTGGTTTGTATATATCCAGAATGTGTCGTTGGGTTTCAAACGGAAGGAAGTTGTTTTTAATCCATAAATTTTAAACTTGAGATTTTTTAAGTAATTCAATTTGAGAGAAAGTAAATTAAAAAAATTTATGTAAAATGAAAGATAAGTATTAATAAATGAATTGATAGTATTTTCAAAAGAATCACAGTTTAGGCGCACAACTTTATGAAATATAAATAAATTATGTTGTATATTATGATCAATATAATCATAAAAAAATTGACAATTGATTAAAGCTCTGCTGATTTGATAAGCTGGCATATATGGTGAAGCCTCACTTTTTATTTATTTATTTTCTTTTTGAGCGGGGGGAGGGTTTGAGAGAAAAAATACCAGTTGGAGCTAGGCGAGAATTTCCTATTTATATACAGACATAAGTGTCAACATCCACGAAATTACATAGACTTATAAGGGGAAAAAACAAAGGCCTGCACGGTGACGAAAAAGTTTGTTGAACATGCTTCAGCTGAGAAAAGAAAGATGGGATTCCTAATTACGTAATCTAATATTCATCGCAGTTCAACAGCAGTACATGACTTAATTATAATTGTCCTTCATCAAACTCCAATACTCATCTCCCATCATTATCAACCCCATTTTTTTTTTTTTTACTTTTGCTCTCTGTCTAATAGTTTTGTTGTAGTAGTAGCCGTGGATGGATCTAGATTCTTATTCTGCCATCACAGTTTTTGGATCGCTTGCTTTTCTTGGTCCATCATCTTCTCTCTCTAGTCTTATATAAAACCTACTCCTCTGTCTTTCTCTTTCAACACTTCCATACAGCTTTCTTTATCCCACTAGATCTGAAAAGACCTGGAACCCCCACTTCTTCTGTATCATCTTCCATCGTTCTCAATCACCCTCCTTGATGAACCTCACAGGCACTCTTCTTGACTAGACCGTCCCTTCCCTCTTTCATGCATGAAATCATTCAATTCATGAGTATCTTTGCCTCTGCGAAAGGAAACTGATATACCCCATTAGGCTTCCCTTTCCCTTCTCTCTCTCTCTCTCTCTCTTTCTGTCTATGATGTCAAAGGAAGAAAATAATCCTCCTTCGAAGCCAGAAGCAGCCAAAGAAGATGGCAGCCAGAGCTCCGGCGGCAGGAAAAACGCCTCCTCTAGGCCACCAGAACAAGCCCTGAAGTGTCCAAGGTGTGACTCGCCCAACACCAAATTCTGTTACTACAACAATTACAGTCTGACGCAGCCAAGGCATTTCTGCAAGACGTGCCGTAGGTACTGGACGAAGGGTGGAGCCCTGCGCAACGTTCCGATTGGTGGCGGCTGCAGGAAGAACAAGAAGGTGAAGTCTTCGTCTTCAAGGCTCCCCGGCGACCCCAAGGACGCCGGATTCCCGGGGGAGCTTGGTGGCTTCAAGTTTTTCCATGGGCTTTCACCCTCACTGGATTTTCATCTTGGAGGATCCTTATTACCCTTCCCTAAACTTAACCATCTTCATCCTCCAGCCATATATAACCAGGTCTCTTCCTTCGGGGATGTTCAAGCAGCCACCTTTGATCCGTCCGGAAGCTCAAATTCTATGATGAATTTCAATTACCCATCTCCAGGAGGAGGATTCAGCAGCGTAATTCAGGGTATGAGCTCTATGAACGTTAACAGCAGCCTTGCTTCTTCAATTGAATCATTGAGTTCGGTTAATCAAGACTTGCACTGGAAGCTACAGCAGCAGAGGTTGGCGGTGCTGTTTGGCGGTGATGATAATGGCCAGAAAGACGATGGTGTTTCGGCGGTTACTCTTGAGAACCAAATCCAGAGACCACAACCAATTTTGTTTCAGAATCTTGAGATTTCAAAGCCGGAGATCAATTGCGTTGCTGCTGGTAATTCCAGAAAAGAAGGCCCAGCTTCTGGTGATCCGCCTACAGAGTGGTTCTTTGGGAATTCTTTTGCTTCTGTGACTCCAACGCCTGCAAGTACCAGTAGTGGTGGGAATAATGGCCATGATAATGCAACCAATAACTGGGGTTCCGTTCATGCTTGGGGTGACGTGCAGCAGCAATATAATGCTTTGCCCTAGCTAGCTAGAGGAGGTAGGAAGAAATAGCCAAAATTATTTCTCTTATAATTATCAAAAAAAAGTAGTCCTTTCAGTTTGAGGAATATGCTAGTATATTTAGTCTTCGCTCTTTCATGTTGGTTCAAGTGAACATATATATGTAGCAGGTGGTTTTCTCATGAACTTCAGCTAGCTAGATGTTAATCGATTGCGTAAATTCTCAATGTTGAACATGGCTCCTTCAAATCAATGAATGTATGCGACGAGGTAACTGTAGAAAATGGGTTGACTTCAAATTGTTTATAAATGTTCATGAGTCAGGATCTGATCATCACTGGGGCAATTTTATTTTGTCTGTATTCTCGACTGCAATCAATCTCAGGCTCCATTACTGGTAGTAAGTCGTAAGTTGAAAGGGATTGGTGGAAATCTTGGCCATCTCTTTCATTGTATCATCGGGATCTGCGAGGGGGCGATTTCAGGAGAATTGTTATTTGGAATGAGAAACTTTTTCAACGCCCATATCTTTGATTTGTTTTATGTTCAGTTGATATCTGGAAGTCATAGATACATAGACGCTAGTGTTATCAGACTCAACATGTCGCTCTGTGATCTATCAGAACACTGAGCATCAGGCTCTTGAGGTACTGATCGATGCAATACACAAAACACACACCACTGGGCGTAGCTTTTGCTGTTCGGCCTCTCCTTAGCCCTGCATGATTAAGGCCTAGCAGCCCTACATCATAGACCCTCTCTTCTCTCTCTGTGTGATGGTAATGCTATAAGGCTCTTCGTAATAATTAGTTGCAGTGAGGTGTGATTTGGTGGTGTCTGAAAAAGTGGTGGTTTGAAAGTGAATTGAATGAGACACTGTCATCACTTGAATGAGGGAGAGTGACATGGCATCTAAAGCTTGCTTAGGGTTCGATTTTTGTGTAGCCAAAAATATGTTACGTTTAGCTTTTTAAAGTGTTGGAGAGTGAGCCCTTACATCCGTGCTAATTTCCCACTGAGAATCATCGACTCTCATGGCATTTCTGCGAAGTGTACAGTGAGAGAGAGAGAGAGAGAGGAAAGCTGGAGGCTTTGCTTTTCCTTGCTTGCTTTGCTTTGGCCATCTTTATATTGTCCTTCACTTTCACTATTTGTAAGAAAGACACTGACCCCACAATCATGAAATGATTAGCATTAAACTCATGCTTGATTTGTCTCGCATAAACAAAGAACGAAATATTTATGTGTAGGCAATGAGTAGTATGTTTAATTTTTTTGCATGTAAAAAAAGGAAAACATTTAAATTTGCAATCTTACGTAATGTATACTTAATTTATCTCATTAATTATTATATATATACCAAAGTAATGTAAAAAGCTTTGTTTCAATAATCACTAACACATTCTACAAAGCAACAAAAATCTGCGAGGCTGCAGTTCTTTTCCTCTATCCATATGTTATGTTATAAATACCAGCCCTGTTTGGTTCGCAATTAATCAAGTAGAACATTAAGGGCCAACTTTATTTCCTTACACTATGCCTCATCAAAACAAGCTTTTTAGGAGCTCTGCCTTTACCGCTCTAAAAAACTTTGTAGATTAAGCAACATTTTCTCCTTTCCTTCTCTTCTTTCTGTACGTGCAAAACACTGATCCTTTTCTCATAATGAAAAGCTCTGAGAGCGCTTTCCATGTAAAATATTACGTACTTAAAACGTGTGAGTATATTAGATAAAGTAACTTCTGTCCAAGGATAAAGTTGATCAGTTTTTTTCTCTGAGTTTCTGAGAGGCTGTGTATATAGGGAGAACAGGCTTAAGATACAAGTTATAATATTGAGAGGTATATACGAAGAAGATCGATGAGGATGCGGGATGAACGTGAAAGAGTGTGAAAGGGAAACTTAATTGTCTTTTAGTTGAAGGTGGGGTGGGGTGGGGTGTTGTTGGCGTCAAACTGTCATTTTGCGGCTAACACAGCGAGAAGCTCATGACATTCTGAGACTCTCTCGATTCTCTACTTCTCATTATTCCCTTCTTACCCTGCACCGAAACGTCCGGACCCACCAGCCACCATCTTCTTCGCCACTCGATAGCTCCCTCCACTATCATCTCTAGTAATGATGTGTGTGAAACAATACCATATTCATAAAGCCCCTAATTTCAAACGTTCATCATCATCTGATAATATTTTATGCATGGAGTTTCAGTGTTCTCTATAAGTAAAGAACATAGATTGTTAATTATTCATGTCCCATTCATTTTTGTTTTTAATTTATGATAACCGATGCAATTCATGAAGCTCATCGCATTTAGTGGATAAAATTTTTGTTGTGATTATTAATAACCTATCTCTCATCTATTGGTCCCATTTCTAAAGTTAAATGTGATTAATATATGTAGCAATGAATGAGACTAATTAATCAAGTTTATGTTTATATAATAATTATGAGTTTTGATAGTATTGGAAACTTTATATATGAGAGGATCAAAATCATGTTTTTTTCTGTGTAATGCTTGCCTTTTTAAGTTATCCTAAAGTAATTTTAAATATGTAATTTCTTTAATTTACAAGTTAAAAAGAATATATATATTTAAGTATCTAAATATTGAAAATTTTATATTGAAGTATCAGAATTTTGTCAAGTTCAACATACAGGACTTTCTACTTCATAGGTTGATAAGAAAATTATTTCTAAATTCTAAAATGTTATAATTGTGATAATATAATAGTAACTCTATTAAATAACCAAACTTTTAAAACATGTAAAAGTTTTATTTTTTGAAAACTTTAAAATGCAATAGTATTTTGATGAATTTTAAAAATATCACTAGAAGACCGGGTGCAGCAGGATTCGTCAATTCTCTTGTAAATGATGTAATGCATGTGGCACGAGTTAAAATTGATCTCATACATACATACATACATACATACATATCCACAAGTGTACCATCATTTCCTGTCTCGATCGAATCAGTTTTATTGATATCAGATCGCCGATAATTATTCACAGCGTGGCGTTGTTTCGAGAAAAATTTTCTTTCCATCGCAATATCAAAATATGTGTTGCTTTTATGCATGATTTCTGTAGGAATATAAGTTGATTTCATTTCCTAGCCATATCTATCTGCTATGCTCCATGTCTTAATATTGCAGAAAAAAATGCTGTTTAATTTGTTAACAGATCGAAAAGAAGAAAGTTTCGTTTTTCAACTTTTGTTTTGGGGCTTCGATCCAGACCTCTTGATTGATTATACCTGGAGTCCTGGAGTATTCTGTTAGGGCATGTATGAGCATACGACAGAACGGAAAAGTAAAAATTATTAATAGAATGAAATGGAATGGGTTGGGATGAAATGAAATGGAACAAAACATTACATTGTTTGAAAATTTTATTTCATAATTATTTAAAAAATTATTATAAAATTAATAGGTTAAGTTGGATATAATTGTGTTTTTTAGTATTAGGGTAAAAAGAAATAATAGAGTGAGAGGAGTTGAGAAGGACGTGTGAAAGTAATTTTACAGCAATATTATTTATATCAAGTCAATTCATTTTTTATTCCTAAATTGGGGTTAGAAAAAAATGAACTCAGGATAGCTAAGGATGACTTGAAAAGCTACGTCAAACATTTTCATTCCCTTTAAAAAAAACTCCCCCACACAAAGATACATAACTTGTAGCCACCCCACTTCATTTCATTCCATTAAAAAAAAATCCCAAACAATACCTTAAAAATTAGAGGTCACTACACAAAACACAGTAGGAGAACAAATGGAGCGAAGGAAAGTGGAGGGTATTATATAGAGGTGTTCATAAGATGGGACTGGACTGGACCGAGACACCCCTATCTCATGTCCTGTCTCAAAAAAATGGCTAAAAATGAATTTTTATCCCGTGTCCCGTCTTGTCTTATTAGGAGTTGGGATAGGATCGGGATGTCTCACTGTTCTAATAAATCTAATAATGTCGAAGAAAAATTTGAATAATAACATTTATTAAAATTTTAAATCATATAATTTATTAAGTTTAAAATTAAAACAACACAAGTATATAAATCACAATAATTTAAATTTATTTATTGAATTATATTAATCACAACTATACATTATGATAACAATTACAAGTGATCTTTAAGCTATAAAAGTAGCAATAATAAGCAAGCCAAGAACAACATCAAGTCATTATTCTTTTACTTTAGTTGAGATATGCTAAGCTAATTATTCTTTTAAAAATAAAGTAAGAAATACGATATAAATAAAAGTTATTAAATAAATAGACATAAGAATAAATTATATTAATATAATTAATATATTGTAAAAAAATATTATCATATTTACTCTATGTCATTAAAATTATTAATATAAAAAACTTTAATTTTATATAAGAATTGCAAGTACTGAAATTATAATTAATATTAGTATAAATTATATTAATGTATTTAATGTATATTTTTAAAATAAACAATTATATATATATATAATATTCGAGACGGGATGGGATGTCCCAATGAAAATCTCGTATCTTGTCCCATCCCGCAAAGCTCCATCCCGATTGTTTTCGGGTCGGGATGAAACCCGTTTTGATATGATTGAGATGATACCGAGCCAATTAAGGCGGGTATAAATTAAACACCCTTAATGTTACATGTTACCTCAAAATCTCAAGATTCATTTTTAAGAGTTCCTCTACTTTATTAGATATGGTTATTTTGCTATAAAACTTCTCACGTTAATTAATTTAAATTCAATCACATTTGGAAATCATAATGTATTTTTACCTGTGATCAATTTTTACATGGATCTTGTTTCCCATTTCATTTATAGTGGCCTAATGTTGCTAACTTAATCTTCGTTGAAAATGCATATTTTGAAGCTTAATTCATGGAACCTCCAAGCATAGCGATTTTTGAAGCCGTTTCCCTGCGTAGCTTAGTGACAGGGTGCATTCATGGGCCTTGTGCGAAGCCCACAGTGGTGATTGGGCCCACTGCCTGCATCTCAGTGGCCCAATATGAGTTTCATACGCCCTCTCATGTTTTTCTGACGTTACTCCGATGTGCTCTCGAATTTTGGGGCTATATTTTATGGAGATTGTGCGTTTTGGAGTTTCCTTCTCAACGCTCCAATGTGATTTTCTGATTTTTCACAATTTTTTTTTCCTGAAAATTTAGGGGCTAACGATTGAAACGTTGGGCCATGCTACACTTGAATGTAAAAAAATGAATAATCCAACTCAGCCGAGGTCTCAAGCCAGGTCAATGTGAAAGTTATGCTTACGAATAACTACAGCTCTAGCAGACAAAAGGTTAGTTCAATAATAAAAATTTGACTTATAAGATTGTGAATTTAAATATCTTTATAAAACAATTACAAATTTGTTATATTTTTCTTTCTCTTTTTTTTTTTGATAGTATAAGAAGTAAAGTCTACCAACAATAAAGATTATCTTCTCCAAAGTATCAACAAAAATTT